TGATAATGGAATACAGTAGTGCCCTTGTACATGAGGAAGTATTTAGACATGTTAATTATTTATGGAATACAGTAGTGCCCTTGTACATGAGGAAGTATTTAGACATGTTAATTGATAATGGAATACAGTAGTGCCCTTGTACATGAGGAAGTATTTAGATATGTTAATTAATAATGGAATACAGTAGTGCCCTTGTACATGAGGAAGTATTTAGATATGTTAATTGATAATGGAACACAGTAGTGCCCTTGTACATGAGGAAATATTTAGATATGTTAATTGATAATGGAATACAGTAGTGCCCTTGTACATGAGGAAGTATTTAGATATGTTAATTGATAATGGAATACAGTAGTGCCCTTGTACATGAGGAAGTATTTAGATATGTTAAATATTGTGTCAGTGTGTAAGATTGTGTGTATTCCAAGCAGTTTTTATTTACAGCTTTTTGAGAGAGAAAGACAGAAACGTTAAAGGGCAGTTGTAATTTGTATTTTTCATTACCTGATGACTGTGATCTTCCTCATGTACAAGGGCACTACTGTATTCCATATATATATATATAGCATGTCAACGATTTTGAGGAAACAGTCAAAGATCTGCATGTGAAATGTTGTTCCTCTATAATAATTTTTTAGAATTTAAAATGTCCCATAAAATTACAGAAGAGTTTCAGCTTTTAGTAATAAAATTTGCCTTCTTGATTCAAGTTCTTATTAACTCAATACAAGACAGTATCTCTGCAATGTAACATAGCAAGAATATATTAATGTCTCAGCTCTGCAGTTTTTAATATTCGTATAAAAATGTTCCCATTTTGTAAGCAATATATATTGATTCTGTGCATTTAAATGTTAAAATCAATGCACATATGCTTACAATTTTACCCTTCACACCCCCAATATTTGAAACAGCACTTTTAAACCAATCAAATTATAATGTGATTTCTAGTGGTCCCACTTAATTTAATATATCCAGATTGGAATTACCACATGTTGATATTTTCCAATATAGGCTCCCAGTTAAATAAAAGATAAAATGTACAAACACAGATAAACGGCTAAAATTTCTAGCTCATCGTAAAAACCACGCATAATATTTGCATGAAACCTTTCAGTTTTCTTGTGTTCCCGGTCTAATTTGGAATTTGGTGTTATGAACGTTGGACTACCCATGAATAAACATATACATCTATATTGCTCTCTGTGTTAAAAAGGAAATAAATAATAAATACATGTCTATGTTTACATACATCATTTAAATCCTTCTCAATGCGATCTCCATTAAGTAATCTGAAGCAAAGTACGCGAAATGACAGCGATGCAGTGTGAACTGTTACTGTGTAAACGGGGACGTTATTTTTCGACTTATACACATGCGGTTTTAGGTCGAGAAGGATGTTATGTATAGCATGATGTGAAAAAATACAGACTGAACGGGGACATGCTCAGATACGCTTATTTCAAGGTTTTTATCAGTCAGTAAGGTCATGGCAGTCCATTTTAGCAGCTATTACAAAACGGGGATGTCCCCGTTTCGAGGTGTGTCCCCGGTATGTTGGTGTGTATTCACACTGATGTCCCTGTTTCACGGGTTTTACGAATGCACACACACACACACACACACACAAATTCACTAAAACCAACAAGCCTTTTTGAGTTTTTGTTTTTTTAAAATATTTGATGAGCTTACTATTGTCATGAAAATACAAGTTACACTTAACTTTCTGATGACAGGGTCTCACACTATTGCATACAATGATATGTGTACACACCATCTTAATCATCTTGCCACTGTTACAAAGAAATATGCTCTGAATACACATGAACACTGAGATAACTTATCATTCAGCCAAAGTTTGTAGTTATTTTGTACATTAGCACTGTTTGTTCATTAAGAATCACGTGTCAGACCTTGTTCAGGTATGATTCCTTTATTTTTGTACATGGTCAGTACTTCAAATTATTAATTATTTTACACTTAATTTTTCATACCTTGAAATAAATATTTTTCTGTGTATTCATTTTGACCTTACTATTAGTAGTAACAATGCTACAAACTACATATTAACTACATGTTCAAATGCAACTTGGATGAACATCTGGATTTTTAGGGCCCATAAATGACCTTCTCTCTTTTTCTCTATCTGGGTGCTGATTATCTACATTTTGATTGATCCAACCATCAGCTTTATATTCTTAAAGTCTTTATTGTTGTATTTTTTTTCTCCATGCATAACATTATATGTTAAATACTGTTAACATGATATGATCATAATGCCCTCATTCTTGATGAAAACCAACATTATAAATTGACACTGAATGTAGTTTGCAAATACTTTACACATGTTAAACATCTATGCAAATACCAAAAATCAGTAGTGCCAATAAATACAAATGACAGAACAATTAGTACCAGTAAGCAGGGCTAAAGTATTTTAAATTTTATCAGTTAATTGAGGAATAAGCTAACAACTTCAAAAGGGCTAGCCAGTGATTGCTGGAATCAGTAAAGAAGCAAGAATTTTTACAATAATTAACTAAAACAAATTACCGACTTTCTGGGCATCACTAATATCAATTTAATTGGCAGATCCTCAATTCCAAACATTTATTGCAAAATATTGGGTATTTTAGCATTTATTACAATTTTGAATAATTATGTCCAACATAATTATGTCCTAATACTTTTTGCACAATCTAAAACTTCATTGCAGATAAATTTTTTGTTTCATGTTAATTGAATCCATATTTTTCAAAAATCTCACCAAAAAAAAAATTGAATTTAAATACTGTTGACAATCAGACAAGAGAATAAAGTTGAACATGGAAGTGAATGGTGATTTTGTTTTAAAAATCAAATCCACTTTAAAAAATTTTCATACTAAATTTATGATGCATAAAGTAATATTTCGAAACATTTACAGACAAAAACAAATACAAACATATTTTGAAGAATAAAGATCCTACCTTTATAACAAAAAAAAGTTGATAAAGTAAAGAGATTTCTTTACTTGTTGCTTTGTGTCACTGAGACAGTTAATGGGATATAAATAAAGAGGGCTTTTTCAAGTAAGCACCAATGGTTTCTCTTATTTTGGTCAGACATAAATACTTTAGTAACATAAATTTATCAGAGATGCAAGCTATGTAAGCAGATTTTTCATTGGATAATAAAGCATAGCATATTGTACAATAAATAAATTTTAACTTGGACAAGTAAAGTAAAAATTGTGACATACACACAAATTCACAATGGATTTTTTTGCCAGACAATTTATGCTAACAGAGGTCATTTCAATACCTTTATGAACATTTCTAACTATTGAATGTAAGAAGAGTTAAATAAAGATGACTAAACTCATGTTAAACCTTTAGCCTGCCTATCTGTCTAGGGGAACACACTGGGTTGAATTTAAGACAATTAGAGAAAAAATCCCCTGAAAATAGCCAAAGTAGCAAAAATATTGTTAGCAAATTTGGAAATATTAATCATCATAATGACCCTAATTATAGTATGGATATTCTATGTGGCCATTTTATGTCAATTCATGTGGATCTTTCACTTGTATATTTTCAAATTATCAGAGAATGGAAAAACCTAATCAGTAAAAAGATTGGCACAGCACACCTAACCCTTCTATCAATAATCCTTTGGGGTTACACCAATCACCATTTACATGATGCAAGAAAATACCTAAAACTTATTATTTTCAACCCCATTGGTGTCAATCACACCCCAAATTTTACTTTAATGACAAGTAAAGTGGATGATGAAGAGACTGATTTCCCACACATTCTAAAAATTTCAGTAAACACATACCAACAGTGCTACAAGAAAGGGAAGTTACCCATGAACACTGAAGGTAAACAAATAATCTCATACCCAGCAAGGACAAATGTGTTTCTGCACAATTCACCTGCAGACAGCTGTCTATGTTATTTGTTCCACTGATTACTATTAACAAACTGCACAGACTCATCTGCTGGCGCATTATGTAACAGCATATCTGGGTCTATGCAGTTGGTAGTTTGACTCAACTTATAAGCAAGTATGTATAGTACCAACAGAGCTAGGTTAAAATTAAATCTCAAACCCAGATAGGACAAATATAAACTCAAACAAAGATGAGACAAATATGTTGCAGCACTAGCATCATCCCCTTGTTCATAAAACATGAAATCAATCATTGTTGATATCAGTGTAAATAATGACAGGAACTTAAAGAACAGCCTTTGGAAAAAAAATCCAAAAGTGCTAGTGCTACCTTGGTATCAGAAAAAGCATGAATCTGCTATTTCTCATTTTTGTTTCTATTTCAATGATAACAACAATGACAACATCACCAACATCATAATGTTACATACCCAAATGATAAGTCCACAGTTCTGAGCTGGATCCTCTAATATCAACAAATCCACCATACACATGCATGCAGCCATTAAACATGACTGCAGTATGGTATCTACGGACACATGGCCTTTCAGATCCTGGATCAAGACAGACTTTTCGGATGTATTCCAGATCTGCAAGGAAATGTAAATACATTCTTTTTCATGAATATCTTTCTGAAGTTCTGTACACTTAACACATATTTTAATACACTTAATAATTATGCATATAAAATGGGGAAAAATATTTAGCAAGATATTAAAACAGACCAAAATAAAAAATCAATCGAAACTATTAATCAAAGAACACATGTACCATTTTTATACATGTCTGTCTTTGCACCATATATCTGCAACTCCTAGCTGAAATCAAAGACCATAAGGAAGAAAATATTAAATATTTCTGATTGAAATTTATTTAAGATATAGTCCCCATCTCATAAGACCATATTGTAATTTACTTATACATTCACCTCTTCTATGACCACTCATTCTGAAGCTGAAAGACTGCTTTATAAAAGGGATGAATTCTAATGAGGGGGAACTAGATGATAAGAATACAGTGGATTCTCATCAAGGGGCTGCCTCTCATGAGAAAGTGACTGCTCCGATGGCCTAGTGGTAGAGCATCTGCCACAGATGCAGGAGGTCATGGGTTAGAACCCCGGTTAATTCAAAAGATAAGATAAGAATTCTTTATTTCAGACTGAATAGTCCATACATCTAAATTAAAATATGGATATAGAGTAAAACATTGTAAACATAAAAGAATATATATATATCATATGTACAAGTATACAGATACATTTACAACAATTAATTGCGCCCTGCATTGTTAAAAGATGAAGTTAAATGACACATTTAAATAGTAATTTGTTCCATCTACTAATAATATCAGAATTTAAATGAATGTCATAGTTCCAAAGTGATTTCAATATACAGTTCTCACTATTAGATAGTCTTGGTATCATTGAAAATACATACTTTCTCATTACTTCCTCAAAACTGAATACATTATAATTTACAAATATGTTGGAGGCACAGTTCCTTATAGGAAGACCTAATAGAAAGCGAAGACTATTATTATAAATAATTACTAGTTTTCTTTTCACATTTTCACTAAAGTTTGTCCACAGTGGAGCACAATACATTGTGCAGCAATAAGATTTGAATAATCTAATTTTGAAACTTAATGAACAAGGCTTAAATTTGCATAGAAGCATGTTTGTTCAGTACATAAATATCAATAATGTCTCATCATATCTTCATTATCTGACTGATTGGATTTCAAAATATGGCCCAAATACATATACCTGTCGATATACATAAGAGCGTTAAGATATACAGAGGGAGGTGATGGTAATTTAAAAGAAGTTGGCTGAAAGACTATGCATACTGATTTTTGTGTATTATAAAGATATCATTCTCTAATGCATATTGTTCACATATCTTCAATACTTTTCTTAAACTTACAACAGACGGACTTATCAGTGACATATCATCAGCAAAGCTAAAATTGTTAAGAAACAGCCCATTTGGTGGCAGACATAACCCTATGTTACAATGGCTCAATATATGATTTAATTCGTCAATGTAAATATTAAATAACATAGGGGAAAGAATACCTCTCTGCCTCACACCATTGGTTACATGGAAAGTGCTGGATATTACACTTCCCAATCGCAACTGTTTGCCATACCAGTTGACTAAAGTAATCAGTAGAACAAATACTGTAGACAAGAATTTTAATTTCCAGCAACTTTTTAAAGAGTGTCCAATGATTGACCCTATCAAATGCCTTACTAGCATCTAAACAGCATGCCATGTTCTACATAACAGCTGACAGTTTCCTTAAAGGCATATAGACATAAATCTGTAGAATGCTGCTTTTTAAATCCAAACTGATTATTGGAGATTATGATTTCGCATACCAAAAGCTTTCAAAAATGGTACTAACACCTGCCTCGCTTGGCACTCAGCACTAAGAGGTTAGTATTAGGACTGATAATGTGACTGGGTTGGACATCATGCTACATGTCTGCAGCATGATGCCCCATTGCTAAACATCTCTATAAACTGTCACACTGCAGATATTGTTGTGATATAACTGAAAAATTGTTAAAACTACATTAAAAATCTAAATCACACACACACACACAAACATACACACAAACACTCTTAAGAAGGTCCTTATAAGAGGGAACTACATTCTCATTCATGTAACACATTCTCATAAATTATTTAGTAGGTTCTATGCAAAATGAAATACCGGTATCCAGATTTCAGTATTTTTACAAGACTCATCTAAGACAAAATTATATAGCTGATATACCTTAAACCTGTTGAAATACTAGAATGCAGCAACTGAATGCCCATTTCAGATGTAAATTGTTGTAACCATTAAGCTACTTTGCAAGAACAATAAGAAAACCTAAACAAGAAAAAAAAATTGCCTGCATTTCCTCACCTGCCAAGAATTCTTATATCTACTACTCTACACACCAATAAGAAATATTTGGGGTTTTGTTTCTTCTTTTATGGGATGACAACAGTATCATCATTCACATCATATACCATATTTATCTGATGCTTGATGATAAGTACACACACTTTAACAAATTGGCAACAAATTATTTACCACTGACAATATTGTCTGATATAAAACCACCGATACTCGTTGAAAAATGTATTGTGCCATCTGCTTCATTTTACAATGGGAAAAATACTGTACTTGTGCCATCTGCCTGGTCTTACAATGGGAAAAATACTGTACTTGTGCCATCTGCCTCATTTTACAATGGGAAAAATACTGTACTTGTGCCATCTGCCTGGACTTACAATGGGAAAAATACTGTACTTGTGCCATCTGCCTGGTCTTACAATGGGAAAAATACTGTACTTGTGCCATCTGCCTGGTCTTACAATGGGAAAAATACTGTACTTGTGCCATCTGCCTGGTCTTACAATGGGAAATTACTGTACTTGTGCCATCTGCCTGGTCTTACAATGGGAAAAATACTGTACTTGTGCCATCTGCCTGGTCTTACAATGGGAAAAATACTGTACTTGTGCATTTTCTTCTTCTCTGTATTAATTACAGCAATACTCTACTACATACTTATAAGAAACTCCAATAGTTGAGAATTCTTTTTTGTATTGCTGTCTTTATTCTTACCATCATTCACTGATTCCATCAAATAATTCTTGAATTATTCTGCTTAATACCACACCTCCATTATGATTGATGAGGTAATTATGCAATTGAGACTGGTGACCTTACCTGGGTTGATTATCCATAGAGATGATTCAGTAAGACCATCACCAAACTCCCCACCAAACAGCAACAACACACTCTGGAAGATAGAAAGCCCAGATGTAATCAAACAACACACTCTGGAAGATAGAAAGCCCAGCTGTAATCAATGTTCACACAGCTTATCCCTATTTAAGACTTGCATTCATCACTATACTAATTGCATTTTTTATATAATTTTTCTACATTTTTCAGCAAAGCCAGTGTACTGGTTATAAGTTCAGATATACAAAGACTATCTCACTTGGATTGGCACTAACCTGGACATCACAAAATAAACATATGTAATACTACATTTTCTGGAAATAGTTGCATCTGAATGAAGCAGATGACATTTTAATTGCAATTGACCTTTATGAACCAGTTTAATCACAACTGTTTGCTGTCATCCTACACAAAAACCAAGAGAGTGAACAACTCAATAAAGATCTTACTTTATGTGTAGACCTTACTGTTGTGTTGAATGCAAGTACATGTAACATTGTTCACTCTTTTGCAAAATCAGAGAAAAAATAATGATTTTGTTGGGAAGTATAATGAGATGCAAAACAAGTACACTGGCTTAATTAGAACAGACATGCTTACACCCTGAAGAGATGGCAAAAGTTGCACCTACTTAATTTACTTTTTTCTGTATCTGTAGTACACTGAAGCATAAATGCAAAGTTTGGATGCATTTATTTCAAAGTATAAATGACCTTAGAAGACAGCAGACTAAATGGAATGACAAGTTATGATACCATATGTGACAAATATAAAATCTAAGCAAACTTATTCACTTACCACACATATCAAGATGAGTCCTTTGAAGAAACTGATGCTCCATTATCCAATTATTTTTTCATGAATTTAGGACAAGACCATTTTTGTTTTCTTTTTAACTACCAAGTGCTGAAACCATCCATGATATTCTTCAGTTATAAGGTATTCATATCGCCACTGTAACAGCAACACTGAATGTCAGATTAGCACATTTTTCACTAGGGCAAACTAGACACCAAGACTTTGTGTAAAAATGTCATGTTGATATGAATATCTGTTCAAGAGAAATAGATCTTTAATCTGTTTATTGTCCCTCATATTTGAAGTGAGATTGGCACCATTTCATTAAGGACTATACTAAATATCACAGTGAATTTTCTGGTGAAAACCCTATGTTGATATGACTTTCCATTTCAAAGGGGTAGCTGTGAATCAAGATAGCTGGTGGAGTGGCCATACTGGATGTCAGTATGACACCATTTTCACTTGCACCAACTAGACATCATAGAAGTCTTCTGATTAAAATCCCATGCTGATATGACTTTCAATCTAGTGGGAACAGCAATAGAACTTTCAGATGGCTACTTTAGCAGCTAGACTGGATATCAGACTAGTACAACTTGTATGTAATGCTAAATAGACACAATACAAATTATATGATTATCTGTTCAGGAGGAGTAGCAATAACAATATTTCAAGATGGCTGCTGTAGTGGCCATATTCAATGTCAAATTGGGATAATTTTTATTTTGGACCAATCTGACATCATAAGAAGGCCTTTACTGCAAAACATATGTTGATATGACCATCCATTCAAACAGAACAGCAAACACAGGATTTTAAAGATGGTCAATGTAGTGGTCATACTGAATGTTCAGGCAGCAACTTTTTCAGGTGGGATCAACTAGACTTAACAGGAATTGTTTGGGTGAAAATTCCATGCCAATATGTCTTTCCATGCAGGAGGACTAGCAACAACAATTTTAAAGATGGCCAACAATGCAGCCATAATGGACATCAGACTGGTACTATTACAACCAAATAGACATCATAAAAGTCTTTTAGTGAAAACCCCTTGTTTACATTACCATCCATTCTGGAATAACAGCACAAAAATGATTTTCAAGATGGCCATTACAGATGTCTGGATAGAACCATTTTGATTTAGGACCAATCATACAATGAGAGAAGTACTGAGTCATGGTCCAATCAATTCTGTGTCCCATTCATACTGTGATCCAATCAATTCTGTGTCCCATTCATACTATGATCCAATCAATTCTGTGTCCCATTCATACTATGATCCAATCAATTCTGTGTCCCATTCATACTGTGATCCAATCAATTCTGTGTCCCATTCATACTATGATCCAATCAATTCTGTGTCCCATTCATACTATGATCCAATCAATTCTGTGTCCCATTCATACTATGATCCAATCAATTCTGTGTCCCATTCATACTATGATCCAATCAATTCTGTGTCCCATTCATACTATGGTCCAATCAATTCTGTGTCCCATTCATACTATGATCCAATCAATTCTGTGTCCCATTCATACTATGATCCAATCAATTCTGTGTCCCATTCATACTATGAT